CCCCGCAGGGCCAGAACAAATATCCAACAGAACTGGACTATGATCAGATAAAGAAGGAGGGAGATAGACAGTCTCCACATGCCGATGAGAAGCTAACCAAGCTTGATTACCAAAAACTCTGTCAAGTCTAGAGAGCGTTCTAGGGCCAGTATGAGCCTTATTAGACCAAGAGTAAAAGGACCCTTTGCTTTTGATCTCAGTGAGGTCCAAATCATCAACAAGACTCTGAAAGTCTCTAGTCTCATAATCAGTAACATCAGCACCATGAAGCCTATCTGAAGTATGAAGAACAGAGTTATAGTCACCAACACAAAGCCAAGGAGAATGCTGAATATAGATGCTTCTAAGCCCCTCCCACAAAGGAAGCCTATCATGAATGGAGTGAAGCCCATAGACAACAGTGAGATAAGTTTGTGTAGAGAGGTCCTTAGAAGAAACACTACAATGAATGAACTGTTCATGAACCTTCAAGACATTAACAGTTACTCTATCCGCATTCCAACCAAGCTAAATCCTCCCTTTGGGAGAATGGTCATAATTACACAACCAAAGCCAAGAAGAGCCAAACTTCCTCTGATAAGTGAAAACATTTTTCAATTTGATTTTTGTTTCAAGCAAACCAACAATATCAACTGAATGAGAATGAAGCAACCTCTTTACAGAGGCAACTTTTCCAGGGTCATTCAGGCCCCTGACATTCCAAACAGAGTAAATCATGACATCAAAGGGGGATCAACCTCACCCCCGCTTGGATTTATGGTGAAACCACCTGCACCATCCATTTCATTTGCAAATAAAGCAACAAAAGCGTTAGAGGTAGAAGCAGGCTGATGAACTCTAGTTTGTTGGCTTTTTGTCTTCCTTCCTACTATTCTCCACCCCTCATCTGAATTTTGAGAGGTATGAACCTGTGGAGTAATAATAAATTGTCCACGAACAGAAACACCAACATCAACATCAGTAGTAGAATCAAGAGCATGGTTAGGCTTAGGAACCCAAACTTGCTTTTGCTTAGGAGGAACAGGAGCCGGTTGCTTAGGAGCCTGCTTAGGCATAGGAGGCTTAACAGAGCAATCATGACCAACCTTGTTGCACTTAGAGCAAAAAGGAGGGGCCCATTCATACACCACCCTGAGCTCCAATAGTTCCTTCGAAGGACTCTCAACCCATATAGAGTTGAGCATAGGCTTTGTAACATCAATTTCAATCAGAACCCTAGCAAAAGACACTCTAAGTTGTCTAGTAGTACACTCATCAGCACAAATTGGCACTCCAAGCAAGCTACCAAGGCGGCTAAGAGTGTCAGATCCCCAACAATTAAGTGGGAGATTAGGGAATTTAACCCAGAGAGGAACAGTTCTAAGAATTTCAGCATTAAAATCAAAATTAGGACACCAAGGCTTCACTATTGCCGGCTTTCCAAGGAACATATGAGGACCAGAACAAAGTATAGTATCTCTATCATCACTAGAGCACAGATTAACAATAAAGTACCCATCATCATGCCAATACACATCTGGTTTTTGCATATCATTCCATTGTTGAGCAAAGAAACGAAGAACAACAGCAATAGTAGGGTAAAAGCCAACCACATAAAAGACTAAAGCATTAGCCCATTTTTTATTACCTGCCTCAAGCTCGGCTGCCTGTAGCTCAGCAATGAGTTTCCCTTCCTGCACTTTCGGAGCAACAAAGGATAATGCAGCCCCTTTTGCAGCCAACTTCCCAGTAAAAGGTGCAGCTCGATCTTCACTCGCATTCTACTCCAGAACAGGGGAAGATGCAGCTCGATCCTCATTAAATTTGCGCGAGTTCAGTTCCAGAGCAGAGGGAGAAGTAGCTCGATCTTCACTAATCTTGTGCACATTATGCTCCAGAGAGGGTGAGGAATGTCGAAGAGAACTCCCTGGCTCAGCACGATGCCCAGATCCACCAGCATCCAATGGAACAGTAAACCCAGAAACCCTAGGTACTGTTCCATTGGATTGACTCGGCCTAGCAGTAGCTTCAGCAAAGAGAGCAATGGTCTCAGCATCACTCCTGGGAATAGCTCCACAAGCCAGATCCACTAACGCCGGCGCCGGAGTAACCAATTCATCCACCTCTTGAATCGGACTAGGAACGAAAAAAGTACCTGAGTTTCTCAAATTCTGCAAAATCGAATCAAAGGCTTCATGAGCAGTCTTTTGTTGCGCTACTTGAGGTGTAGAAATAGCTTGCTTCTTCTTCTTCGCCATTGATATCCAAATTTGATGAAGAAAACCGATCAAAAATGAAGGACCATGGAGAAGAGAGAGAAGAGAGAAAGTCAACGAAAGTCAATATTGTTTATTGATGTTGCTTTTGGCAAGAACAATATGTTTATTTTGATGAACAATTTGGTGTTTTTTTTTTTTTTTTTTTTTTTTTTTTTAGCAACTGTGAACTAAATCAAGTTAATGTACTTTAAATCTGCTTTGACTTATTATTTTAGCAGTTGTTTGCCCACATTTGTGTTTGGTTTCAATTATTGCACAAACAAATTAGCATAAGGAAATGGAACCCTTTTTTATTGAATAATCATTGTTAACATCATCACATAACAACTACAAACAAATAACACTGCAACATCATGCTACTCCTACTTCATTGACATAATCACTATCCCAAACAAAACCCAAGATAAAATCAAAGCCAAAGAAAAATTCCTCTCATTCCTTGCACTTTTCATCAACTTAATTCGCATTTGACTGGCTTCCCCCTTCAGTTCTTGAACATCTTCTTCCAAGTTCTCTTTTTTAAGCTGAACCTTCTTCACCTTATCTTCTAGCATCTGCTTGTGCATCTCTAACTCAGCAATGGTTGTTTCTTTTTCAAACAATTGAAACCGTAACTCATCAACTTCATCCCTCACACCACCTATCCTCTTAAAAAAACCACAATCCGTATCCTGCACATTAAACCACAATTAGTTAATTAAACCATAATTCAATGTACTTAAATTGGATAATTTAGATGGTTAATGCCCTAATTATGTTCTTACAGGCCATAATGGACAGCCATGGAACTTCAACCCCACATTTAGACCATTCTTCACCGATCTCACAACCGCATCTCTTCCACAATTACATTTAATCTTGTCAATTGACCCTCCCCTTGATGAAGAAGAAGACCCTGATGTTGCAAATTGATGATTTGACCTCTCCATTGATGACTAATTCAAGGGATTGATTTTTACAGATTTTTAATCGAGCAATTTTGTTCAAAAATATAGGCAGGCTATTGCTTTTTAAATCAAAACAATTAAAAAGAAATAAATAATTAAAAGAAATCCCAACGGTAAGTGCCACGTTATCCCTAAACCGGTTACAACAGGTGATAAGCCTTCTTATCATGGGTTGAGAGAAGCATTTTAGGGTGTGTTTTGATGCTTTATATGTACTTTTGTTAGCTTTTGTGAGTTTTGGGCTGTGATCTCACTTATGTGCAAAAGGCGGGATTTATGAGTATAAGTGAGTGAGTGAGCTCGGGAACCAATGAAGAGTTATGTAAGAAGGATGGACCTTGGCTCGTGATTTGAGAGTTGTGATGGAGCATGGAAGAGCAAGGAAGAAAGCTTGAGGAAAAGGTGAAGCAAAGCAAGAAGAAGAAGCAAGGAAAGAAGGCGAAAACAGCAGGAACCACTGCCAGGGCCGCTGGCAGCTGGCCAGAGCCGCTGGCAGCGGGTATACCAGAGTGAGGGGCTGCCAGAGCAGCTGCCAGCGGGTACAGAGCAGCTGGCAGCGGCTCTGGCAGAAATTCGGGCTGTTTTGGTTAATTTTCAGCAATTTGGCTTTGTTTTGGCTCGTGTTTTGGATATTATTTTATTATTATTATTGTGTTATGTTATTAAAATAGAGAAACATATAAATAGCTTAGTTTTAATTAAGTTTGAAGAAAAAAAGGAGAATTAAGTTTTGAGAAAAAAAAGCTTTCTAGGGTTTTCTTGGAATTTTCAGAATTCTTTGTTTTGGAATTAGAATCCATGGAAGCTTAATCTTCCGGATTCTTGGTTAAAGATTGAAGCTTTTAGCTACGAATTGTGAGATCTTTCTTCTCTTAATATCTATTGAATATATATTGTTCCTTGAATTAATTTCATGATTTGCTTTAATCAATTGCTAGGTTAGAATTATTGGATTCGCTTGCATCTAATTAATCTTTCCAAAGTAGCAACTTTAGGTTATTGATGCATGCTTTTGGTTGATAACTTGAAGAGGGAATAATATTATTGAAGAAATTAGACCGCTTGTGTTAATTTATTCAATCCTTGTTGATTTCTCCGTTTATTTTCTTCTTGTGGATAATTTAGAGCGCTTGTATTGAATTGTGCATTGGAAAGGGTTAGAAAGGAGCGCTTTGCTATTTCTAACTATTTATGAGAATTTAGAATCTAGGAATTCTACAACAAGGTGTTCAATAGAGCTTGATTGAGGAGACTTCTATGATCAATTTGTATGTTCATTAGTGGATTTCGCATAACCAAGACCGTTCTTCTCATTGATTACCTATTCATTACGTTCGTTGTTCTTACTTAGTTCATTTATCATCATTGCTCGTGAAAACCCCCCTCGTTACTTAGGTTACTACCGTCCTAGAGTATTTCCACTTAGGTTTCCAGTTATTAGTCCCTTTTTCCCTGTGGATTCGAACTCGACTTCCCTAACTACGTTTATTTGCAGTTAGCTTAGTTGTGATATTTTTGGTTGCATACGACTGAGGCACACCAAATTTTGGCGCCGTTGCCGGGGACTTAGGCGTTACCGTTTAATTGTTTATCTTAGTAGAATTTATTTTAGGATTGTTCTTAGCTATTTTTTTCTTTGTTTGTTCGCTAGGGTATGATAAGTACCCGTTCTGCTAACAAAGAAGTTTTGCAGTTTGATCCAGAAATTGAAAGAAATATTTCCAGGTTGCGAAGAGAGGCAAGAACAAACCCCAGTGAATCAACATACATCTTCAACATTCAAGAAGAGGAAGTGATGGCAGAAAATCGAACACTGAGAGAGCTAACAGCTCCTAACTTGAACCAACAGCCGTTGTGCATCGCATATCAGCAGTTGGAGGAAGGTGCTAATGTTGAGATCAAATCTGGTCTAATTCATCTATTGCCGGCATTCCATGGCATGAAGGGTGAAGATCCAAATAAACATCTGGCAGAATTTCATGTGGTATGTACTAGCATGAAACCGATTGGGATGACTGATGAGCAAATTCAGTTGAGAGCATTTCCTTTTTCTCTCAAAGATGCAGCGAAGGATTGGTTTTACTATCTTCCCCCAGGGAGCATAACAAATTGGGCAGGTTTGAAGAAGTGTTTCTTAGAGAAGTATTACCCAGCCACTATTTCTGCAAGCCTTAAGAAAGCTATCAGCAATGTGGATCAGAAGGAAGATGAGTCCTTGTATGAGTATTGGGAGAGATTCAAGAGATTGTGTGCTAGTTGTCCGTACCATGGGTATTCCGATCAAGACCTCATCCTATACTTCTATGGAGGTCTAACAGATGATGATTTGAGGATGGTGAATGCAGCAAGTGGTGGAGGGCTAGTGAATAAGACTCCAGGAGATGCAACTAGGCTGATTGCAGAGCTAGCAGAGAATTCTAGGCAGTTCAGTCAGAGAACTCCCACGCGCCGGGTGAATGCAGCAAATTCAAATACAACTGAGTTAGAGAGTCAAGTAGCTGATTTGACTTCTATGATGCGTGAGTTCATGGTGAACTCAAGGAATCCACAGCAACTGAATGCTTGTGGTTTATGCACCTCCACAGGACATCCCACTGATGCATGTCCTCAATTACAAGAGGAACAGAATGAGCAGGCCAATGCAATGGGTTTCCAAGGGCAAGGTCCTCAGAGAAGATATGATCCATATTCGAATACATACAATCCAGGATGGAGGGATCATCCAAATTTGAGATATGGGAATTCCCAGGGGAACCAACAACAACAGCAAAATGCTCAAGGCCAGCAGCAATATCAGCAATATAGGGCACCATTGGCCAAACCTCAAGGCCAAACCTCAAATTCGAATGATATGTCAACTGATGAAATGATTAGATCACTAACTTCTAATGTTTCTACTATGCAGCAAAACATGGTGCAATTCCAGCAAGAGACCAAATCCAGTATTCAGAATTTGGAAAGTCAAGTGAGTCAAATTTCAACTGCAGTGAGCAGACTTGAAGCTAAGGATTCGGGAAAACTTCCATCTCAAACGGAGTTGAATCCTAAGCAACAAGCCAACGCTATTACATTGAGAAATGGCAAGGAGCTGAAAGAGACTGAAATTGCAACTAAGAGGGCTGAAGAGTTGATTGGAGCTGAGGAGAAGGAAGTGGAACATGAAGCTGTAGCAAATCCTCCCACTTTTCCATCTTATGAACCCACACCACCTTTTCCTGAAGCTTTGAAAGAAACGAAGAGGTATGAGAAGGACAAAGATATCTATGAAACATTCAGCAAGTGTGAGGTAAACATTCCCCTTTTGAATTTAATAAAGAGTGTTCCTCGATTCGCTAAATTTTTGAAAGAACTTTGTACTATTAAGAGGAAGCACAGGTTAGGAGGGAAGGAAAAAGTGAAAGTCAGTGCTCATGTTTCTGCAGTTTTCCAAAAGAAACTTCCTGAAAAATGCAGTGACCCTGGTATGTTTACTGTTCCAGTTACAATAGGGGACACCACTTTTCGTAGAGCAATGTTGGATTTGGGTGCATCAATTAATGTTATTCCATATTCACTGTTCAAATCTTTGGAACTTGGACCCTTACATGACACCGGGGTAGTGATTCAATTAGCTGATAGATCAAATGTTTATCCTAAGGGAGTAGTGGAAGATGTGCTTGTGAAAGTTGATGAACTAATTTTTCCTGCTGATTTTTATGTGCTTGATATGGAATATGATAGACAAGCAATACCCATCTTGTTAGGAAGACCTTTCTTGAAAACTGCTAGGACTAAAATTGATGTTTTTACTGGTTCTTTGACTATGGAGTTTGATGGACAAGAAATTGTGTATAACATCTATGATTCCATGAAATACCCTGTTGACACTCATTCTTTGTGTTCCATTGATATCATTGATCCTATAGTGCAGGATGTCTTCAATGTTGAGGGCGAGGATGCGCTCCTCACTTCCATTTCTAATGATTTATCTGCTGATTGTTTGGATATTCCTTTGCCTAATAGTGTGCAGATGATGGTAGCAGAGTTGAATGGTCATTCCAAGCTTCCACTTAGACCACCAGGTTCGACACCTACCCCATTGACAGTGCCTACTGATAAACTCTTACCTTCTGTTTTGCAGGCACCCCAGGTGGAGCTAAAACCACTTCCTGATCATTTGAAATATGTGTTCCTTGGTCAAAACGATACTTTACCTGTTATAATTTCAAGCAAATTGACCAAGGAGCAAGAGGACAAGTTGGTGACAGTGCTGAAAGAGCACAAGTTAGCTATTGGATGGACCATTGCAGACATTAAGGGAATAAGTCCATCCACTTGCATGCATCGTATTCTGTTAGAAGATGATGCCAAACCTGTGAGGCAACCTCAGCGTCGCCTAAATCCTCCCATGATGGACGTGGTAAAGAAGGAGATCATAAAATTATTGCAAATAGGAATGATATTTCCTATATCTGATAGTAAATGGGTCAGTCCTACGCAGGTGGTTCCTAAGAAAAGTGGTGTGACTGTGGTAGAAAATCAACAGGGTGAAATGGTTCCTACTAGAGTTCAAAATGGTTGGCGAGTTTGCATTGATTATCGTAGGTTGAATGCAGTAACTAGGAAAGACCATTTCCCTTTACCTTTTATTGACCAAATGATTGAAAGACTTGCAGGGAAATCCTATTACTGTTTCCTTGATGGGTATTCTGGGTACTTTCAAGTGCCCATTGCACCTGAAGATCAGGAAAAGACAACTTTTACATGTCCTTTTGGCACATTTGCTTATCGCCGTATGCCTTTTGGCCTATGTAATGCACCTGCAACCTTTCAGAGATGCATGATGAGCATCTTTTCTGAGTTTGTTGAGCATTTCATGGAGGTATTTATGGATGATTTCACTGTGTATGGTGATTCTTTTGATAAATGCTTGCATCACTTATCTATGGTCCTCAAAAGATGTATTGACTCTAACCTTGTCTTGAATTCTGAGAAATGTCATTTTATGGTCCAACAGGGCATTGTGTTAGGTCATGTAGTTTCTTCTAGAGGTATTGAGGTTGATAAGGCTAAGATTGACACTATTCAGTCTCTCCCTTATCCTACTAATGTGCGTGAAGTGCGTTCTTTTCTTGGCCATGCAGGTTTCTATCGTAGGTTCATTGAGGGATTCTCAAAGCTTGCAAATGCTATGTGCAAATTGCTGCAGAAAGATGTGAAATTCCACTTTGATGATGATTGCAAGAAGGCTTTCGACGAATTGAAGGCTAAGCTCATTTCTGCCCCTATCATTCAAGCCCCAGATTGGTCTCGACCATTTGAGATAATGTGTGATGCGAGTGATTATGCAGTTGGAGCTGTTTTAGGCCAGAAAGTAGGGAGGGCATCTCATGTGATCTATTATGCCTCAATGACCCTCAATTCAGCCCAACGAAACTACACTACCACAGAAAAAGAGTTGTTAGCTGTAGTATTTGCTCTAGAAAAGTTTCGATCTTATTTGCTTGGTACTAAAGTAATTGTTTTCACTGATCATGCAGCTCTTCGCCACTTGATGACGAAGAAAGAGGCCAAACCAAGACTAATAAGATGGATTCTGCTCTTATGTGAGTTTGAGTTAGAAATCAAGGACAAGATAGGCGCGGAAAATCTAGTTGCTGATCATTTGAGTCGTTTGACCCATATTGTTGATCAACCATCATTCCAATATCAAATCCTAGGAGAATTTCCAGATGAATCTCTATTTGCTCTTAAGGATTTGCGCCCTTGGTTTGCTAACATTGTGAATTTTCTGGTTTCTCAACAGTTTCCTCCAGGTTTCACAAAGTCTCAAAAGGACAAGCTTCGAACTGATGCGAAGTACTATGCATGGGATGATCCATACTTGTGGAAGTTCTGCTCCGATCAAATCATTCGCAGATGCATTCCCGAAAATGAGGTGATCCCCATTCTCACCTTCTGTCATTCTCATGCTTGTGGAGGACACTTTGGAGCCAAACGCACAGCAAGGAAGGTTCTCGACTGTGGTTTTTACTGGCCAAGTTTGTTTCGAGATTCCTATGGATTTTGTAAATCCTGTGATAATTGCCAGAGAGTAGGTAACATTTCCCAGAAAAGTGAAATGCCCCAATCCTCTCTTCTGTATTGTGAAATATTCGATGTTTGGGGTATAGATTTCATGGGACCATTCCCTATTTCTTACGGTTTTACTTATATACTTCTTGCTTGTGATTATGTGTCGAAGTGGGTGGAAGCAATACCCACTAGGACTGATGACTCTAAAGTGGTTTCAGGTTTTATCAAAGCTTACATATTTTCTAGGTTTGGAATCCCAAGGGCGTTGATAAGTGACCGTGGAACACACTTTTGCAACCGTACAGTGAGTGCTTTGTTGAGGAAGTACTCTGTTCACCACAAAATCTCCACGGCTTATCACCCACAAACCAATGGGCAAGCCGAGGTGTCCAATAGAGAGGTGAAGTCAATTCTGCAGAAAACGGTGAATCCGGATAGGAAGGATTGGAGTTTGAGGTTGGAGGATGCTCTATGGGCGTACCGCACCGCATACAAAACACCTATCGGGATGTCCCCTTACCGCCTTGTCTTCGGAAAACCGTGCCATCTACCGGTTGAGCTTGAGCATAAAGCATATTGGGCGGTTAAGTCATTCAACATGCAAATGGATGAAGCAGGTGAACATCGGAAATTGCAACTCCAAGAACTAGAGGAGATCCGGCTTGAGTCCTATGAGAATGCAGATATTTATAAAGCAAAGACCAAGCTATGGCATGATCGAATGATCACGCGGAAGGAGTTTAAAGTCGGTGACAAAGTACTCCTATATCAATCCCGACTTAGATTATTTCCGGGAAAACTTCGGTCCCGTTGGGAGGGCCCTTTTCAAGTGGCGAATGTATATCCGCATGGAGCAGTTGAAATTCAAAGCCTCGAGACCGATAAGATTTTCAAAGTCAATGGCCAAAGGCTCAAACCCTACTTCGAGGGTTTCAAAACCGAGAACGTGGAGTGCATCGATCTCTACGAGCCATCAATGGAGTAGCGAAGTGGGATGAGCCGCGTCGAGCCAACGACGTAAAACAAAGGCGCTAATCGGGAGGCAACCCGATCGAAAACTCTTCCCCATTACTTTTCGTAGTTTAGTTTTTATTTTTTTCGTGTGATGTGAAGAGTGTTTTTATTGTTTTTGTGTAGGTGGAGGCCTTGGGAGCAATTTTTATGCGCGAAACGCAGCAAAAACAGAGCAAAACAGAAACAAAGGGGCCTTCCCTGCAGAAGCCGCTGGCAGCTGCTCTGCAGCCGCTACCAGCGGGTCTTCTTGCAGCCCAAACCCCTTTGTTTCTGTCCCAGCCGCTGGTAGCTGCTCCTGAGCCGCTGCCAGCGGGCCCCCCTCTACGTTTTGTTAATTTCAAAAAAAAAAAAAAAAAAAAAAAAAAAAATCACCAAAATCTGCCAGAGCCGCTGGCAGCGGGCCTCAAGCCGCTACCAGCGGCTCCTACAGCTCTCCCCGATTTTTTTTCCCTTATTTCCCCTTTTCCAAACTCCAACTTCATTATCCCCCAATTCACATAAACCCTTACTCCTTTTCTTCTCCTTCTCTCTACTCATTCATTCCCCTACACCAATTATACCAAATTCCTACCAATTTCCCTTTCCCAAATCTTCATCTTTCATCAAATTCTCAATTCCCATCACAATTTCACCTAAGGTTTACCATTTTTCTTGATTTCAATTGTGAAATTGAGTTGGTTGTGTGGAATTGCAAGCTTAATTTATTTTCATTGAAGGTGAAGGTGAAGGTGCAAGTGAACATATTCCTTTTTATAGCCATGGGTAGAGACAACAAGAGGTCTAAAGAATCATCTCCATCAAGACCCTCAAGGGGCAAGAGGCAAGGGGCTTCTTCAAGTCAAGGGGAGGCACCTCCATTGCCTCAAGGGGATGGTTTCATGGGTGTTCGGTTGCATTCCAAGGAGAAGGGCGTATGGACTAAGCTTCAACAACCCCGACGAACGGTGCAATGCACCAAGTTCTTTGACTTAGAAGCTCTACAAGAGCTAGAGATGGAGGAAGGAGTGCGGCTCTTGCTAAGGAACGTGGGTCTCGAGAATTTCATGACCAAATGCGCTCCCACCTATGTCAGGTATACATATGAATTCCTTTCAACGCTTACTAAAGGACGTGAACAAATATCCTTTAATTTGAACAATAGGAATTATGTGATGTCTTATGATGATTTGCGTATGGCATTTGGTTGGGATGCACCCCCATTGGTGAACCGTTGGGGTGATTATAGCACGTACTCGTCCCGAACATTTTGGAGGGCTATAACTGGTTGTGAAGTTGACCCTCATGGTGATCATAGCTTCAAAATCACCCACCCATGCCTTAGACTGGTGCATAGGTTTATATCGTCCACTATTCTATGCCAAGGGGAGGCCACTAAGGTCCCCAAAGTCACATTGTCGTATTTGTGGGCGATGACCCCTGAAGGTGTCGGTACGCCCAATTGGGTGGAGATTTTTGTTGATAGTTGTGTAAAGGTGAAGTCCAACTCCAGTGGCCATATTAGTATGGGTGGCATGGTCTCTTTGCTAGCCTGTTATTTGAATGTTCCACCCCCTGAGGATCTTGTGCCAGTAGACTCGACATACTTGACATATAACATCATGACTCTGGTCAAGATCGGTTTATTATCGCGTTCCCCCGTCGCCGGTAGTTATTTCTGGCGATACGGACCGCAGGGTTTGAACTATTTGAGACTTCCTCGTCCCGAGGGACGAGCATTACCTTTTGGCCCTACTGCTGCAGACTTTTTCCTTCCGCCCGACCCGGATGTTGCTCCTTATTTGGGAGATGCTGAAATCATAGTTGAGAACATGGGAGAGGAGAATCCCGATGTTCATATGGGCGGAGAGTTTGTTGATGAGGAAGGGGGTGAGGATGCTGCTGGAGTGCAGCACGATGATTGGCCTCGATGGAGGGCTGATGTGGATGATAGACTAGAGGAGGTGTGCGATGGGATACACGAGCTGCTTGCATATCAAAGAAGCATGAGTCGGTTTTACACCACTCAGTATCCGCAGTATGAGCCTCCAACTGAGGCGTTCATGGATCATTTGGCATCCCGTGCTTTGCGTCGTTCCGAGAGGCGTGCTTCTCGGGGCGATGCCGGCTCTTCTGGCTCTGGAGGTCCCTCTCATTGAGATGGTAACGATTTTCTTCCTTTTCCCTTACTTTTGGTTTCATTGTAGTTGTTCTTGCATCGAGGACAATGCTTCATTCAAGTAGGGGGGGGGAAGAAATTCTTGCATATATTCTTTGAATTTTGTATAGTTATCTTGATTTCATGTTTTGTATAACTATCTTAATTGTGGTTCAATGAAGCAAGCTTGAAAAAAAAAAAAAAACAGAAAAAAAAGAAAGAAAGAAAAAAAGAAAAAGAAACCCGCTAAGTTGAAAACCTGAAAAGGCGGCTTAGGCAAAAATGGGGGCCCGGTTAGGTTGAAAACCCGAAAGGGCGACCTAAGCAAAAAAGTGGCTAATGAGTGGGTGAGAAAGTGAGATTTGGAAAAAGATGAGAGGCTAGGATGAAAACCCGAAAGGGCTCCTAGGCAAAATGAGAGAAAAAAGAGAGAAATGTTCATGAATTTGATTTTTCAAGGAAATTTCGCATCTATTTGCCGGAGTCGGTGTCATAAGGGGAGGAGATATAAGGAGGTGTCGGGGTAGGTTTCATCTTGGTGATTTTGGGAGATAGTTGAGATTTTGGGGGAATTTGTTGATCATCTTAGGAATTTGAGAGCATGAGTTGTTTGTTTTCACTCTTGAATGTGGAAGTGTTTTTATGAGATTTTTGGTTAAGTTGAGTTTTTGTTTGCCCAATTTTATCAAAAATTTCATTTCTTTAGGAGGTTGAGAATATTCATACTCATGGCTATGCGTTTATCGTTCCAAGTTGATTTTGGGGATGAATTGATAAATAAGAAAAAAGGGAGATTCAAAGTGTGAAGTATGGGGGAGTGTGATTGTGATTGGTTGATAAGTACTAGGATGTTTTGTTGAGTTTGAGTGCGTAGAGCTAGTTTGATTCCACCATCTTCTGTTTTGAACCTTAGTGAGGAGGATGTGTTTTATTCTCTAAGTTTACTCGAGGGCGAGTAAAGGTTCAAGCATGGGGGAATTTGATAAGCCTTCTTATCATGGGTTGAGAGAAGCATTTTAGGGTGTGTTTTGATGCTTTATATGTACTTTTGTTAGCTTTTGTGAGTTTTGGGCTGTGATCTCACTTATGTGCAAAAGGCGGGATTTATGAGTATAAGTGAGTGAGTGAGCTCGGGAACCAATGAAGAGTTATGTAAGAAGGATGGACCTTGGCTCGTGATTTGAGAGTTGTGATGGAGCATGGAAGAGCAAGGAAGAAAGCTTGAGGAAAAGGTGAAGCAAAGCAAGAAGAAGAAGCAAGGAAAGAAGGCGAAAACAGCAGGAACCGCTGCCAGGGCCGCTGGCAGCTGGCCAGAGCCGCTGGCAGCGGGTATACCAGAGTGAGGGGCTGCCAGAGCAGCTGCCAGCGGGTCCAGAGCAGCTGGCAGCGGCTCTGGCAGAAATTCGGGCTGTTTTGGTTAATTTTCAGCAATTTGGCTTTGTTTTGGCTCGTGTTTTGGATATTATTTTATTATTATTATTGTGTTATGTTATTAAAATAGAGAAACATATAAATAGCTTAGTTTTAATTAAGTTTGAAGAAAAAAAGGAGAATTAAGTTTTGAGAAAAAAAAGCTTTCTAGGGTTTTCTTGGAATTTTCAGAATTCTTTGTTTTGGAATTAGAATCCATGGAAGCTTAATCTTCCGGATTCTTGGTTAAAGATTGAAGCTTTTAGCTACGAATTGTGAGATCTTTCTTCTCTTAATATCTATTGAATATATATTGTTCCTTGAATTAATTTCATGATTTGCTTTAATCAATTGCTAGGTTAGAATTATTGGATTCGCTTGCATCTAATTAATCTTTCCAAAGTAGCAACTTTAGGTTATTGATGCATGCTTTTGGTTGATAACTTGAAGAGGGAATAATATTATTGAAGAAATTAGACCGCTTGTGTTAATTTATTCAATCCTTGTTGATTTCTCCGTTTATTTTCTTCTTGTGGATAATTTAGAGCGCTTGTATTGAATTGTGCATTGGAAAGGGTTAGAAAGGAGCGCTTTGCTATTTCTAACTATTTATGAGAATTTAGAATCTAGGAATTCTACAACAAGGTGTTCAATAGAGCTTGATTGAGGAGACTTCTATGATCAATTTGTATGTTCATTAGTGGATTTCGCATAACCAAGACCGTTCTTCTCATTGATTACCTATTCATTACGTTCGTTGTTCTTACTTAGTTCATTTATCATCATTGCTCGTGAAAACCCCCCTCGTTACTTAGGTTACTACCGTCCTAGAGTATTTCCACTTAGGTTTCCAGTTATTAGTCCCTTTTTCCCTGTGGATTCGAACTCGACTTCCCTAACTACGTTTATTTGCAGTTAGCTTAGTTGTGATATTTTTGGTTGCATACGACTGAGGCACACCAACAGGTTACGTTACCTGTTCAATCCATTTTGGGAGAAAATTAAAAAATTTCAGTTTAATTTGGGCAGATTAAAAGGTTGGTCCAATTTTGGAAAACCGGCCAAAGGTTTGTTCACGCATGTTAAATTTTCCTAAATTAAACATGTCAAAACTCATAAATTTATAATCTTTTACAATCTAAGTATATTATCAAACCATAATAGTAATAATCTAGAATCAAAATTTAATCAAAGCTTGGAACTTTAAACAACTTAATAGGATTAGAAAGCAATAAAAAAAAATAAAGGAAGAGAGGAAGGAGAGGGGCGAACGGCAGCACCAGTAGGGCGGTGGTGCAGGCGGCGGACAGCAGCTCGGCTCCAAGTCTTTAGGGTTTTATTTTTTTTCTTTGTGTTGTACGTGGGAGAGGAGAAAAGAAAGTGAGGGGGAAATAAGGGTTTTGGGGTTTATATACTTTGTTGGCTTGGTCTCCAAAGTCAAGTGGGAATGGGAATTGTATTTGGGATTGAATATAAATTTTAGGCTCTCTTTATTCAAAATTGGTCTACTAACACTATATATAAAAATAATTTCAATTAGATTGGTGCTTAATAATCTAATGAAGTTTAAATAAATTTTGCATATAATAATTTAATTAATGAAACGAAGTAAAATAATTATTTAAATAATAAAGAAATGTAATAATTTATTCTGAAAATATGGGGATTACAGTAAGTCTATAGGATTTTCCCTCTAAGGTAGAACACTAGAAACTGACCCAAACTGACGTTTCAACAGTGACGCTGAAGTTTGGC